AACAACATTTTAACTCATTAAAACTAAAATATACTACTTACAAGTTATAAATTGATGCACTCGTGAGAACGACGGACATACAAATTTCAGACCCTTCCATATTTATCGCTATTGCACCTCTTACCTCTTATAAACAGCTCTCTTCCCAAACTCCTGGTCAATTATTCTTGTAAACCATAAGGCACACAGAAACACTTTCATCCCTTAAGTGGAGCAATCGAGTTCACTAGCATCAGTTTCCAACAGATCAGTCGACAGATCGGACTGTGTAATTTCGATTGCTATGGCATACATAATCGTGTCTATAGGAAATAAATATGACAATTTTGAGCATGAAGGTAGTTAAAGTTGCCTAGTAATTTTCTCACCTTAAATACAGTCCAACATGGAAATTTATTCCATAAATTCCAGTTCAGTATTTTGTTGAATTAAATTATTATCAAAATCCACATGAACGTTAAGAGGTGTAATAGACACCTTTAGTCTAAATCCAAGAGATATATTATCTATATATATATATATATATATATATATCAAATGGCAGGCATTTTGGTAGTTATCATTAGCCCCTTTGTTCAATTCAAGTTTCACAGAGGGGAAGGAACATGAAAGTGAAAAAAATGTCGAGGGGAGGGGGGAACAGAAGAGTGTTTCAAAGATGTGAAAGAGACAGACACAAAGGTGGAGAAAATGTGTGGTGAGTACTGTGAAAGTTGTGGAATATGACATACAGTGAGGTGATGGTAGTTTAGAGTCAGAAGTCAAATGCCGAGTGATTGAATTTTTGCCATATAAGTATACGTTATCCAGGGTGCACCACGTGGATTTAATTCTACCGCACACTCCATAAATTAATAACATAATTAGCTGTTAATTGCCTACAGTGTACCAACATTTTTTTCAATCTAATCATAGAAAATCGAAGTCAAATCATATGTCGAGTTATGGATTTTTTGTCGTATGAGTATACGTTGTCCAGGGTGCACTACGTGGAGGTATGTCTACCGCACACCCCGTCCCAGAGATATAAAATTGCATGTTTCGTGTATTGAAGCACTTCATGTATCATTCAGCAATAATATTTTGTTTTAGGGTTCAATAATATCATCAGATTATTCTTTCCTTATTTCAACAATAATTTTGGAATCGTTAATTAAAGTTTGTAATAATTAAATTTATTTCTTAAAAAATCAATTTGTTTAGGCACTCAAAGCCAAATTCAAAAGCTAGGTTTCATATTGATAATTCATGTCAATTTCTACGCATTTAATGTGTTATATCTTTACGCCTTTTCGTACTATGATTGCAAATTTTATTCTGTCATTAATTCATACGAATTTCTTTCGCTGAAATGTACAAAGATTAGAAGTAAATAAAGTCTTAAAACTAAAGATATTTATTCAAATAGGGGCATTGTATCTAACAGATTTCCATTCTGTTTAATTTACTAATAATTCCCGATACAATGGCATAGTGAGCCACTTTAATTCACTTGAAGGAAATGTGATCAATTGTTTCCCAGTAGCTACAATTAAGTTATAATTTACCTTTCCTATGATGCATTCGTGAGGAAAGAAGATTATGTTTAGGCACATTCAAGTCCCCATTTCATAACATCTCCATGATAATAGAGTGCTGTTCGTATGGAAGAATTTGTGGAACACAAATTTTCACCTTACTTTAATTTTTCTATTAGATACGAAGCGGCAAAGAGAGTGGATATCATTTAATATGAAAATACATCTCAAACAATGAAGGTTTTAATGATCCAAAAGTGCTACAGGAACCAAATGCATAGATTTTGAATTTTCAAGTGGTTACGGGTTCAAAAGAGCTAAAGAATCGGACCAGAATTTTTTTTGGAAGGAAAAAATACTATTATGTAGTAAATTTTCATACAACTTAGTAAACTAATCAAATTGTCATTGTGTAATAATGTTTCATAAGATGAAGTGCATGAAAAACTCTGCAGGTGAAATTCAATTTTTTGCAGGCATTTAATAGCTGTTTAGTACTGTCCACTTTGGATGTCCTAAAACAGAACATTGTTTTCTATTCCGTCGTCACCACTATCATTGCTGACTTCCCTTGCTTCATATTATTCCTACTGTGCGAATCAGTCACCATTCATCAGCCCTTATTATTCAAATCATCATCTCCAGTTCGAGTGAAGGAATGGATCAATTAAATTAAAGTTAACATTGTATAAAGTATAGCAAATCGATTATATGTAAAATTGTTTCAAAACATTGAGTTTAGTCATCCAACCCCAAATATTACTTATATTTAAGTTGCGTTAAGTGAAGTGGCATCGAAATGTTTTTCACTTAAAAAACATAATAATTTAATGAAATGCAATAAAATAACAAGAAAATATAACAGACTGCACAAAATTTTGAACTCCACAGAATTTAGTATATTAATGGTACTCAATCAATCAGAAAAGAATATAAATTATAATTAGAAAATATTTTTATTTCAGTTCAGATTCACTTAAAAAATGAATGAAAATGCATATACAGCACGCGATAGCACACTTCTCAAATTGAACGAAATAAGGGTTTTCGTTTGGTTATTATAACAACAGAAAATCCATTGGCTTATTTTGTCCAGTTTATGCACATATGTTGAAATTTTAAAATTCTAGAATGCCAATCACTGACGTCTAGATAAGTTAGTTGATAGCTTTGCAGCGGTCAGCTTGATGTGTGCGTACGAACTACTGAAGGTTTTAAAGTTGCCTGAATTTAATGGAATATTTATTTGATTTTTTTTAAATTCGGTTTTAATGACACCAATATATGCACAGATATTGCAGTTATATCGGCCTGGTACACAAATATGCCTTGACATATGCTGGAAAAACTCATTGTGGCAAGATGTTTGAGTTTTAATGGCTTTTATTATTTTGCCAATAATATTATAAATTAATAATACGTTAGAAAAGTTTTCATATCAACATGTGTAAAAAAAGTTATATAAGCATTACTATACTTCACTATTGGGAAACACGTACATTTGCTACCTATAACGTGGCGTATATGAATACCCCTGAAGGTATGTTCAAAGGTTGCGAATTATTTATTGGAAAATTTTTAGCTTGACAGAATTCTTAAATAAATGAAGTACAAATATACTGAAGTATGTCTTGGACAAGCATTTTTTCCTGAGGTTTGTAATCAGCTTGAGAGTCTTGGCAAAACGGAGAAACGATTGACAGTGTTAAAAGTTAAATTCACCGATGCTTTCATCCAACGAGGCATGAGATAGATTGTGAAAGATGGGATTAGATGTGCTTCTAGAAAGAAATCACTTGGACTATCACCTGCCCTAGTTTATGAATTGTAAACACCTCTATCCTATTCTATCGCAAAGTTTTGGCAAACCATTTTCTGTTTAATAGGAAGATAATAAAAATTTATTCAACCTTACTTCGTGAATTCGAAAAAAAAACGTTTTTATAATTTGTTGGCTTACTAACGTTGCGTGTAATTGAAAAGTGATAAAAATGTCAAATTTTTAATAAATTGAAAATAACTTTTACAGAGTAGTCTGAAATGATTTAAATAGAGTTTTGTTTAGGCCAATAAATTGTCTTTGTTATAGCAGTCAAATTGCGTGTTTCGTTCAGAGTAGGTTTGACTCAAAGTCAGTTGGAATCATTTCCAACTTTGTCTTCCCCTTCCCCCTTGTGCTTCCCACTTTCTTCCTCCTCCTCCTCCTCCATTTCCTCCACCTCCTCCTCCTCCTCCTCCTCCTCTTCCAATTCCTCTTTATCAATTCCCGTTCCTTTCAAAATTTCATCCCATTCTTTATCACTCCAATCCTCGTTTATCCAATCCTCTTCTGACCAATTCGTATCGTCCACCTCCTCTTCCATTTCTTCTTCTTCCATTTCCTCTTCTTCTTCTATTTCCTCTTCATCAGATGCATCACCGCCGCTAAGTAGGAATATCGCGATAAAAAGCCAACTGTAAATCGATTTCATCATGCACAACCAGGAATTTGACTGCCAAAATGTCAACTTCAAATTTCACAAGCAAAATATATACCCATTGATAATGCATAGAGTTATATGACTGCCTATCTCAATGGCAACTTAAATAAATTCCGACATTGATTGGTCAAGAACAGCAAACAATTGTGTGAAGATAATGCAATAAAATTAAAATAACAATAGACGAAATTTTCAGGAAAAAAACAATTTTCAGTTTAAATAATGAGGCAAGTCAAACTGTTTGAAGGCATATTCAATTTCAATGCGTTTTAGAAATGTTTGCAAACATGTCGAGCAGGAATCAACTATTCGCATCTCAGTTGAAACCATGATGCACAAATAATGCGTAAATTGTAAACCAAGTCGATATTGACAATTTTACTTCCAAATGAGGGGGGTACGCGATAGACTTACCTCCACGTGGCGCACCCTGGGCAACGTATACTCATTCGGCAAAATAGTCTATTTATCAGCAGTTGACTTCTCACTTCAAACTACCAAGACCCAACCGCATTTCATATTCGACTAATTCCACAGTACTCACCTTTTTCTACCTTTTTGTCTGTCTGTCTCTTTTACGTCTGTGAATCATTATTCTGTCCCCACTCTCGACTTGTTGCCACTTTGGTGTTCCTCTTCCTTTCTGTGAAGCACGAAATCAACTAAAGGGCTAATGATACCTATCATAACGCCTGCCATTTGAAATAATTATCAATAAACTTCCAAATGAGTATAAAATTTGATGCTGATTGGAAAATAGGTACAATCGGTTCTTTATCGAATGGGGAGGTGCTTCATGAACACCTCCGTCATCAATGAAATTTTAATCAGAAATTAATTCAAACACTAAGAGCTAAATGGAGCGTCATTGATTAGTTTAATCATTCCTTGCATTAATGCCCAAAACAACTATCACGTTAAATGTTAATGAGAAATATTTCCAAAAATGCCAATGCCTTATCCTAAGTAGGCAAGAGTGACAGTTTTAATCGAATGTGAACATATGACGTAGGAATATTTGGCCTCACTGTCTCATATTCTAGTTCAATGAATCATAGATTGATTTGAAAGGCGGCACCAATTAAATGGAAATGAACATTGTCATTTATTCTTTTCAGTCCACAATTTACTCAAAAACTATAAGCAGATGCAGAGACTGCACACGAAGCAATATTTCTTAAAGTGAACAAAATCAAGGCTTACGGTCTGTTATTACTTCAATTGCATTTCGCTTTGATGAATAAGAAAATCCATTTTCAAAGGCAGCATTTCATGAACTCCTTAGCGTTTTGAAATTTCCGAATTTCATGAAAAAGCGCAGTGAGTTATTCAAGTTTTGTTTGAAATCTACTTTAAATGGCATTGGTAGAAAGTGAAATTAAGGAGATTGGTTTATTGTTTTACGATAAAAGACTTCGACTTTGCATAGATTAGACTGCATAAATAGTGTCCTATTCTGACAAATCTTGCCATTTTATGTCCTTTGATTGTGCTCAGTTTAAAACCGTGAAAAGTACATCTTTAGGAATTACAATGCATAATGTGTTCGGAACAACGTGAGGATAATTAAATTTTCTAATAAAATTAGTTGCATTCCATTTTAACTCCTTCACAACAGATTGAGGTCCATTGTGAAAGGTGGTGATAAATACGTAGAATTGAAGAATTTTCACAAATCCATTCCTGATAAACTTATGCGTGGGTAATTCATGAAATTTACAAAACTTTGCTACAAGTATTTACAACTAAAATTTTATTTTTTGTTCAAAAGCGTACCAATTGCATAACACAACTCCCATTTAAATTTTACAGACAGCGAATGGCAACTTGCCATATGCCAAAATACAACTCAGTTATAAAATAACATTTATTTATTTACCTCGAATGTTAG